CGGTGGAAGGGTGATAGAGAGCATCGAGTACGAGAGGTGGGAACGGGGATCGGCGGAGAGGCAAGTCTGCGGTGTTTGAGAGAAGCGCGCGCTCGCCTCTGACGGTTAAGCGACGAACATCGACGAGCAGTTCCCGTGGGAGCGAGTAAGACTTTCTCCGGCCGAACAAAAACAGAAATACAGTCTGTGCCCGAATGAACGAGACGGAATATAGAAGACGAAGAGCTGAAACGCGTTTGGCCACGGCAGAACGGAGACGGATGCAAGGTTCGCGAGAGAATAAAAAAGGATGGAATCGTGGCTCTACCATCGGTACGACAAAGCTAGCATTATATACTCGCGTGAACACGCTGGTCGTGACTATATGTACATATATGCGTGCATACATGACATAGACAAAGAGAGGGAGAGGGGGAGGGGATGAGCGCTGCAGTGATGTATACCTAAAGTTAGGATCCTGTTTTCCATGCGTTATAATTGAACTACGAACGAATTTATATTTTTAATCGGCTTTGAGACGCAAATAAGAAAATACGATAGTGTTAAGTAATATACATTATGATAGACTTTTGCATATACGAAAGAAGGAAAAACCGTGTCGAGAAAGAAGATTTGTAGCTTGTTTTTGTTCAAGTTTATATATACGTGTATATTTGTGTTTTCAAGAAAACTACAAGTTAATTAATTGGATGGCATGTTGAAAATGTCGAAGAAACACTCGACGAGGATCAAATCGTCTTCACTTCCGATGAAATTTGTTAAATAGGCCCAGCGTGAAATAGCGAGGGTCCTTCGAGGCCGGCCCTGTATCGGGCAGACTCGACTTTATTCCATTCGATTCGACGTAACTCGATTCACGATCGAGACGATGAGTTGCATGGTCGAGGAAAGAGAGCTTGATTTCGGGAGAGCGAACAGCGTAGGAAAGGACAGAAGGACCGAAACAAAGAAAGATAGAAAGGAAGAAAGAGGACACGAGACATGAATTGCAGTGCTTGCGCGGACAAAGGGAATCTGCGGCGGCTCCAGGCGCGTCCCTACGCACACGCGAGTTTACTGTACACTGTACACGTATGCATGAATAACGTCCAAGTATGCGCACGCATGTACGCCACTGTAGAAAACCGCGTGTCTAAAGTCGACGCGACGGAAGAAGCGCGAATTCTCTTGTTTCTCCCCGTTCGACATTGCCGCTTGCCCTTCTACCCCTTCGCAGCATCTTCTTCTCCGTCACTCTTCTCTGCCTTTCTCTTCTTGCACTCCTTCTCATTTCTTCTCCTCTCTTCGCTTTTCTTCTAGTTTGAATCTATTAAGAGGAATAAAGAAAGCACGATCACGAACCCTGTGGTGCGAATCACGCGTACGTTGCTTACTTTGGTGCGTCGTCTTGCACCCTTCCGATCCCTTTCCCGCTCCGGAACAGAAAAAGATTATTAGTTGTAATTACCAATAATTTCGACTATGCGCACAGGCTTATCGAAAACGCGACGACAGAGAGTAGGTAAGTCTAGTAGCAATCGAGACGCACATCACGCATAGATGTTCAAAATGTTCATCACGATGCTGTTTTCAATGCTTTCGTTCAATAATCGCATTCTACGCTAGTAGTGCCGAAATAATGCGATCGTTCTATTTACGATCTGTTCCGGATCTCGGTACCCGTTAAACATTGAAAGTCGTCGATTCGATCTCCGATCAAAACATATATAGTCAAATTGTCTTCAAACGCAATATTAACAATTTCTTCTTGGATCGATCTAGCATAGCAGCAATTATTTATTGCTAAGAATTGCAAACTTTCAAAAGCTTAATCCGGTACCGTAGCAACTTAAATTTAAGTCGCGTCAAGTTCAAGGCAACGGCAGGAACAATATCAATATAATTCTCCGACATGCCCCTTCCGTTTTTGATTTCGTTACGGAACCTGTAGGTACGAAGATCCTCGACGACTAGTCGAAAACGAGGTCAGTAGAGAATACTAGCTTTGTGCCTGCGATACTCGCCCCCTAAATATATGTAAGTAGTACGTGTGCGTTATCCATCTCGCTTTTCTACCGATCCTTTCTAATTCGATTCTGTCGTCAATTACATTCGAAAATGGAGAATCAGCGACGATAATTCAAATTTGCTCGTTCATCGATACAAAACCCAAAGCAATTGGCGATCTAATGCGTGCTGGTAGGTACACGCGTACGTATATATAGGGTGAGAAGTAATTTTATCTTGACTATCATAGACATTTTCTACACCTCCGGGTCGGTGCAGATCTGTGAAAAAGATCTGACGTAAAATTAACCTTGTCCTTTGAGTTCGAGGCCAGATGTTTGTTTCGTGATATCGTATTCTACTTATGATAAGAATCAACAGTCTCGTAGAAACCATGGGTTCCTTCCCATGTAATACATACGGTGGTCGAAAGTCCGTGTTCGATACTTCTGACCATCCATTAATGTAATAATACCCATCTTGGATCAGTTGTTAGAATTATAATTTATCCGATCGTGAATTTTCCTTCGGTTATAATATTTTCCACAAGTGAGGTTAGAATCTAGTATAATTTTTATATCTGAGAAAACAATACTAACACGGTGGTGTCGGATTTTGGAGGCGAGAAACTTTAGCAAACAAAAAATAATAATAACGATAAAAGAATATCGAGCAACGAAAAAGCAATGAAAGGCCAACACGAAACTCTCTAATACACATGTAGCAAGAAAAACAAATAATCAGGTATCAGGAAAAGGAGGTTAAGAGTAACACGGACACGACGGAGACACTAGTGAAAATACAGTAGATAGATCTCATGCAAGATATTTTCGCTACCGAACAGTGCATAGGCTACGAATTGTGCCACCACGGAGATCTAAGACGATGAAAAGCACGAAGAACGGCAAACTACTTCCCCTAGTAATTGGGGATCGTTGTATTTTTTCAGTCTTCTTGTAAAAGGTGGGAAGTTGCTTACTTCGTGACAAGTGACGATGCGATACGTGACCTTTTTTCCGACAATTTAAATTTGACTTGTCGACGCACGGCGTGCCAGTTCGATTTAAACGTTTAGCCAACTATCTTGATCGTACATTAGGAACAAATACAAAGAGACTTGATAATAATAGCCGAAGGGGAAGCTCTCGAAACTGATTGTATCATTGACGAGTATCGGTACTATTAGCAAATTAATAATCGGTATCGGCAAATAACGTTCTTAAATTCATCGAACGGTGATTCAATTTTAACGGAAGTGTGAAATTACGAATAAAATATAAGATCAAAGCACGATGAACGGGACACGCGCTATTTCTGAGATTATGATGACATTACAGCTATTTATAAGAGGTCTTAATAGGAATAAAGAATGGGAAACGACAAAACATGAATCGGGAAATAGGAAACGAGAAACGGGAAATGCAGAAAGAATACACGATATACGAACGACCGATGGAGAGGTCCGTAGTTAACGCGTGCAGAAAGATGCAATCGCGCCATTTGAAAAATGCAGAAAATCTACACTATCGACAACCGGTTTGCAGATGACTGCAGCAAAAACGAGAAGAGGAAACGAATCCTGATCGGTAAGTTAGGAATCCGTATCGCGAAACTATTCAAAGTTGGTGTCGATGGCAATGGGTTAACTTCCGACGGATGTGTAGAGCCGATGCTTGGCGCGTGGCTCAACTGTCGCCGTCGTCGATAAAAAGGTCTGTAAAGGTCGTGCTCGTATACCAGAGATACGAAACAATGTAGAGGGGAAAGAGAAAGTTTCGAACGTCTCGTCGTTTATAGACGTCTTGACGTCGAGTCAAGAGGTCTAAACAATGCGACGTTAGAAGGGCTTATGACATGGTTGCACGGTATGGCGCGGTTATTCGCGCGACGCAAAGTATAGTCAACGTTTGTTCGTGCCGCTAAATCTTTGTTTTCCGATTTTTATTCGTCCCTTTACAAAGTGCGTATACGCGATCGAAACTGCGAAGTCGGAATTGCCTTTGTTCGTCTAACGTAATTTCGCGCACTGTTGCGTGATCGCAACGCCATTGTTTTAACGGATAAAATGAGAAAAAGGAAGGAGACACAGAAAACAGAAGAAAGAAAAATAGAACGGTAAAACATGTCCAGGGTTAAGATATATAGTTGATCAGAGTATAACAAAGTGCAGTGGTTCTTACCTGAAGTTCCGCTTGCGAAACGTCGATCTCTCCTCTATAGACGAATTCTATAATGAACTTGAGATCATTGAAGCACACATCTTGGGGCATAATGATTGTCGGATGTTTGCAGGGATTTGAAAGTAGAAGCTTTTGAAAGTAGGAACTGCACGCCGATAGTACCACCTGCGCAAACAGAAGGAGTTGTATCGAACGATCAATAAGGTAGGTAGAGGAAAATCGGTGCATCGACCTGGAGCCATGGTGAAATGAAACGACACGACGTGACGCGACGAGCGGCCCGCAACGTCGTGCGCCATAGGTATGTATATCGATTACAATCGAGCGAGGATTGGCGAGGAAGAATCGGTAGGAGGATTATCGATCATACGAATCTAATTTGGATTAGACCGACCGTCGGTCGTGATTCGCTTACCTTGTGTGCCTTTAAAGAAGCTTCGTTGCATGCTAAGGTAACATCGACGAAAGCTTCCGTCTGAAGTAGTTGGTGGAAAACGGACGTCATGTTCGACTGATAGTTATTCCAGCGCAGGCAGTAGTGCTGCCCGGCCATGCCGCCGCTGCAACAAAAACAGTAAAGGAACGATCACTTGTTAGTTTTTGATCGTGAACCAATAGTTTCGTCGATTTATCGTAAATCGCAAGCGATGGGTCGAGCTGTTGCATATGTCGTAACGATGCTCTTCTTCCTTCCTTCAAATCGATCCGTAAAAGGGGACAGTACCTGTAGTGCACGCCCCAATAACGATCCGTCTCCATGAAATATTCGTTCTCCTTTCCGGCACAGTATCGGCGGCGCGGAGATCGTTCGGTCGAGATCGTATTTGCGGTGGCTGAGAAAATAAAGAGATAGCGAGAAACCGGTGGAGAAGAGAATAAGAAAGATAGATAGAGATCGGTAAGAGGATCGAAGAGTGGAACGAATGGAGCGCGAGTGGCCGAAGGGAACGGAGGCGGATGAGTCAAGAAAAATAAAGACCGATCGGAAAGAGAAGAAGCCAACTGTTGGTAGCGGCAGCGGACAGTGCACAACCAGTCGCTGTTTTCGCGGTGCAACGATATGGAGAAACACTTTCGCGGTTTGACCAACGACGACAACGTGAACAACGATGGAAACGATGATCTAGAATGGAGAATCGAGGCACGCGTGTAGAGGATCGAGGATCGAGAATAAAGCATCGACGAACGACGAGCGACGAACGACGTACGACGAACGACACGAAGCTTCGTCGCGATAACGTCAGCAACGTTCGCTCGTTTGACGGAAAGGAGGAAGAGACGTGAACGGTAAGACGGAGAAAAATGCCGGTAATACACGGTGAAGATGTTCGCGGAGAAAATAAACGATACGTATCGGTGCGAATACGCGACACTGTGAAAGCTACGAAGAAGGCCGGGCGTTGGTCTGTCTTGTAACATTCACCTGTTCCGTGGACCGTGCTTTATCTGTCTCTATCTATGTGACTCTTTATACGGACCATTTCGCGTTATCTATCCGTAGGAATACGGACTTTTATCAGTTGCTTAGACGTGCGCCGATAACGCGAGAACTTTAAGCTTTCCACTCGTTTCGCGCCTCCTTTCATTCCCCCCTGATTCTTCGTTCACCGATTTCTCTTCGCGCGTTGATATGGCATAGAAACCACGCCGCTCGTCTCAGTCCAACACGACTCATTTCATTCGCGATAACAGTAACTCGGATTGCGTTTTCGGCTCTTTCGCAAATACAATTCATTCGCATCGATTAAAATTCAGCGTTTACCAAAGACGTAGGTATAATAATATCGTCAGCGGACATTCCATTCTACGATCCAGAGCCTCAAACTCTTTTCACCGATATGGTAGATACAAGTCGTTGACAAATAAACGTAGCTAGCGTACTTACTGATCGCTTTTTTTTCTCCGCTCGCTGGTCGTTAACAACGTTTTCTGCGCGTGCTTATACTCTTGCTTCCGCGTTTCCCGACAAGTTAAGCGCCAACTCGTCCGTACACGATGATACGATAGCCAGTCGCGTCGCGAATAGGCGTAACGATATCTAAAAATTCGGTTAACCGGTACGCGTAACGTTCGAAAATGAGTCGATAATCAGCGATAACGGACAAACACTGGTCGTAATCGGCAATCGTTTGATCGTTTCCTTTGGCCACGAACCGTGGTAAATGTTCGCGCGATCGACATTTATTCTCAAACGTACTATAAAATCATCGTTTTCTCGTAATCCCATGATCCGACAAACCATTCGAGGAGCGTGATACGATCAAGAGGGAGAAGGGAATAAGAAAAGAAGGAAGGAAGGGAGGGAGGGAGGGAGGGAGGAGAGAAGAAGAGAAGAGAAGAAAAGAAGGAAAGAAAGAAGAAAGGAAGGAAGAAAGAAAGAAAGAAGGGACGGAAGGAGGAGAGAAGGAAGACGATCAAAGTGGCGGAGCGAATGAAGAGAAAACCGGATGTAATGCGAGTCGAAGAAACGGAGTGAGACCGCGCGCTCGCACAGTCTGGTTCGGAAAGCGTGCTGTGCCGTGCTATGCTGTATCGTCGATATGTCTGAACGCTTGCCGATGGTTTGGAAAATAAAGGATGGATCGAAAATAGAGTGGGGAAGAGATCGAAATCGATCGCAACCGTTCGCGGCTGATCGAATCGATCAATACGCTTTCTCGCCGGTCGATCTTTCGCGCATACTTTCATCGACGATACTTTACTCGCGCACCTTCTCGCTATCGCCATATCGACCGTATGTATGTAATTACATTTTCATTCAGAGGAACGTTATTTTATTACCGCGTGATATAATTTTCGTAGCCAGGCTGAATACGAAATGGAAAATCGTAAGAAAAGAGTAGTTACTCGGCCGTTTCGCGTAAACGTTGACCGTGAAAGAAGCAACGAGGGTAAAGAGAAGCTAAACTACTCGAGCGGGACACGGTAAACGAGAGCGCGCGCGTCACTCGCGAGAAGGTGTAGCAAAGGTACGGTGATAGAAAGAAGATAAGCACAGAGTTAGACAGAGCACAACAGCGTCGTTCACTTACACGATCGACGTATTTGCGGCACCAGCAACGGTCACAGTAACGAAACCAGCAACAACACCGATCAACAAAAACAGCAACGCCAGCTACCTTCTTATATTGGGTGTCGCAGATGGAGACACGCACGCGAACAGAAATACACAGAGAGCGGCCGATCGAATCTCGCTTAGCGATTATTAAAATTGGCGATAAATATATCGTATCGGTGAACGTTCATCCCTCGTGTGTTCGCGCTTTCTTTCGCGGTCTCGAAGAAGGACACTGCGTTGGTCTCTCCCTTTCAGAGAATCCTCCCTTCCATCTTCCCTTCCACGATTCATCTCAATTTTTCTTCGAGCTTTTTGTGTCCAATTTCACCTCGCCTCCCTCGGATCCCATCCTCTTTCTTTTTCCCCGTCTGTCTCTCTGCCATTCGTGGAGTAGACGAGCGCCTGCTCCCCTCTTCTTCTACCCTCGTATCGTTCTCGTTCCATCTCCTTCTTTTCTTTTCTCTGGCCCTCCTCGTCCCTCGGTCGTTTCGTCGTTCCTTTCTCGACCCTCCTCGTCTCTCGTTCCCTCTTTCACCGCGCGTTGGCTCCATTTACTCGTTCCCTCGTTCCCTCCCCACGAGGCGAAGACGCTATTTTCTCGTGGCCCCTTTTCTTCCACGGTCTCCGCCACCCTTCTCTCTTTTTCTCCTCTCCTCTCCTCTCCTCTCCTCTCCTCTTCTATCCTATCTGCACAACTCTCCTATCCTATCCTCTCTTCCGCTCTCTCTCTCTCCACCGCTCGGGCACTCCGTTTTCTCGGTTCGCTCGATGGCAAGCTTCTACCCTCTCTCTTTCTCCTCTCTTCCTCTCCTTATACTACACGCGGCGTTTCCTTTTCCTCCTGGTCGGTGCGCGTTTTACGTTTTTCCAACGTTATCGACGTTCTTCCTCGGCTCTTCTCGGACTTTTTCCTTTCGTCGTACCATCGTACCCATCGTACCGTCCGCGTCTGTACCGTCGTACCGTCATTCTCGAGACGACCAACCAGCTCTTTCTCCGGGAAAACGTAAGCGGAAACGGCTTCTCCCCTCCTGGCTAGTCTTCCAGTCAGAACTGCGTTTCTAGGGGGAACACTCTGAAATCTTCCAGAACAGTTTCCTTCTCTTCTCGCTTCCATATTCTCGTCTTTCTTTCTCCGTAGAAAAGCAGCGGCCGATAAAACGCGTCACTAATAAAATTTTCATCGCCACCGGCGAATTCTCCGCACTGCCATCCTTTCTTTTTCTTCGCGCCCCACCTGCCTTTTCCCTAAGCATATCGTCATTTCCAACATTTTCCACGTTACCGCCATTCGTTACCGATGTCCGAACATCTCGCCTACCGCTCTCGGATTTCCAATCTTCTTTCGCGTTACACCATGACCCTGCTGCACCTTGAGAAACACGACAAACGTCTCGCCATCATTTCCAACTTTGCCAGTTTTCTACCTTCGTTAGAAACGTTTTAACGTTTTTTCATTTTCAAACTGATCCTATGGATGCTCGTTTGGGACGGGATTTTACAGGTACGTTAACGCAGCCAGGTAAAGCATTGCCTTTTTTCCATTGAATGCGGTGTTCGAGTATAGGAAAATAGCATTTATCCTTATCGATAGTGAGAAATCGAACGAGTCGCGTTACACAAAGTCTAGTTTTGATGAGCAGGAAAGGACGCAGGAGAAGAGGAACAACGCGCGTTTTCACGTTCATTCCTCTCGTATCTATGGAAGCACCAATTTTTCTTTTCCAAGATTCCACTAACACCCTAGAGATTTCTATATTTTCCATATAACGCGCGGCTCCTGTTCGTTTTTGTGTTCGAAACGATGTCGACTTATCGTCAAATTGTCGAATTATCGTAACATTTACAATCGATGTATCTTGCAGACAGAAAACCTAGCTTTTCACGTATTATAAACGTAACGCATTATAAAATACCGAGTTTCGCTAGTATCGAGTGGACATTGGCGTCGTTCTCTCACCGACTCTAGTGCGAATAGAACGAACGAAAGCAAGAAGAGATAAAGAGAGAATCGATGTACGAACGAAGTAAATAACGAGCAGTGGTCAACGAGTCGAAGCAGTCCTAATTTCCGTCCTGTCTGTACCGTAAGGCATAACAGTACCGCATTCCAAATGCCCTTCGTTTCTTCGTTTCTCTCCGTTCACCTTTCCGAGAGAACCGGGCTCTCTCGGCCTCTCACCTGTTCCCCTTCGCCCTACCACTTGAAAGAGCAGTCGTATATATAGTGCTGGCTACGTTGTCTCCGTTCTTCCTACCGCTTTTACATCCCCGCCATTACCCTCCGATGCCGTTTTCGAAGAAAAGGTAAAGAGAGAGGAGGAAGAACGAGCTGCGGAGACATGGAGGGAGTAGACAGACCCGGAAACGCCAATTTCACTGGAACCGAATGAGAGCGGAAGAATTGACACGTGGAGATGCGCAAGAAAAGAGAAAAGAAAAATGCCCGATATGCACGAGCTATTTTTCATCGTCCTTTAACCGTTTCTAATCTGCGTGAAAAAATATCTGTTCGACGAAAGCTGACTCTACCAAAGGAAATTTGCATATTAGACGAATCGTGCGTCTCTTCTAATCGTTAGGTTTTTCCTTGCAAAATGTTTTTCGATCGAGGCTTTGCGCGTTCTTACGTATCGCTGTACATCTTCTCTTTCCATTTTCCTCTCACAGAACAAGGATGAACGAGGGTTAGAAACCACCCCCGGGATCCACGTGATCAGGGTTGCGTCCCTTCGAAGGGTGCAACGTAAGAGGGTGACGTGGACTTGTCCAAGGTCGCACGTGGCTTGCCCAGAGGGATCTCTTCTTCCTTACAACGAGGGTGCACAATTTTTTTCTTGTTCGCTCGATTCTTCCACCGTCGAGGAACCAACATCGCGTCACAAACGAAAAACATTCTTCTTTCGTCGCGATATTTTCTGTCCTTTGACATATCGATGCCGTTCCCATTGCAAAATTTCCAATTTACATTTCCAACGTGCCTGCTATTTTAACCTGAACGTTGTTTGTCTGTCTCGCGATAATTATCAATAGATACTGGTTAGCCGACGAAGGAACCTGGTAAAGTTTCGAGGAAAGAGAAAGGAGTAACGAGGATGCGCAGGAGTAGTCGGCCGAACGGAAGCAACGAAGAAGAAGGGAGTTGGAGAAAGGGTGAAGAGAGGGTGGTGAACAGCGGATAAGAGAGTCTCTTTGTGTGCTCGTGTACGGCGGAGGGATGAAAGCGGAGGATGAAAAAGCCGGGGGACAGATGGCCCTTTCAGACAATGAGAAACTCCGGAGATAAGGGGAACGCGAGCGAGAATCTAAGGGGAGATAGAGAATGAGGAAGAGCAGCAGGGAAAAGGTTTGCCAGAGAAAGAAGGAGAAGAGGCAAAACTGCTTTTTTGAGACAGCAATAGAGAGAGGGACAAAATGAACGATGAGGCAGGAGAGCGCGAGGACAGGAGAGCGAAAAAAGAATAAGGGAAAGAAGAGGAAAAGAGAAGGAGGAAGGCTGAAGGAGCAAGAGAAAGGATGGCATACAATTGACAATGAGTCAGACGCGGAATCGGCTGTACGAACGATCGTTTAAACGCGATTAACGATCGAGCGATACGATATTTTTCGGACGCATGTATACTGCACGTTTAAACTGTTTTCCAATGAAACAGGAAGTTTATGACGTGACTCTGCGTTTAGGACGCGGACAAATATAGATAGGGATGATTTGAAATTTCTGCTTTTATATGTTTTCTAGTCCAAAAGCTTTAAAGTTACATCGATACGCGAATAATAATAATGATAATATTATTTCCATTCACGCAGAGATGTCAGCCCTTTTGCATTCTTTCGTTCGTTTAAATAGCAGTTATTATTGTGACGTTAGCAATAAAGCTGTTTAAAAAACATTTAACGCTTGCGTACTTACGTAAAAGTTTAATCGGTCTGTATAGACTTTCATGTAAATAACTCGTGAGCAAAAACGCGAAATAATCGATAAACACAGTTCTCTTTCTCCCTCTCGCTTTTTCTTTCTCTACCATCTTCTTCTTTTCTTCTTGCTTAATTTTAAAGCAACAGGATATATATACGTATGTACATAAGGACAGCAGAATGAGGAACGAAGGATATAGAATAGAGGGAGAGAAGCAAGAGGGTTGCCAGTGGAAAAGATCAGTTTTGAGCAGTAGGATAAGAGGCAACGAAAGAGGAGACAACGGCAGCGCTAGCGCGTCATCACGCTGGTAGTGGCAGTGACGGTGTCTGTGACAGTAGCGACAACAACGACAACAATAACAACAACAACGACAACGAAGCAACGACGGCGACGACGACGAACGAGCAAGACTGTAGAGAAGGAAAAAGAGATAAAGTGGAGGTGGAAGTGGATGTAGAGCTGGAAGTGGTGGCGACGAAGAAGGTTATCGAAGAAGGGGAATACGGCAAGGAGGCGGAGAGGAAAAGGAAAAGATGGGTAGAGGCAGATCGAAACGCAGGAAAGAAAGAAAAGAGAGGTTAGGGTGGTAGACAGGATGCTTTGTGAGAAGCCAGAGGGTGAAGAGAGAAACTGGACAAAGCCGAGCGAAGCAAGAGAAATTTCTTGTCTTGTCATCTCCTTCTACCTTCGTTCGTCTCTATTCCATCTTCTCGCGCTCGTCTCTTTCTCGATGCGACAAAGCTGCTTGCCACGGATCAAAAAGAGAAGGAATGCAAAACGGAGGAGAAAGACAAACACGAGGAAGAAGAAGGAGAAGAAGGAGGAAGAGAAGGAGAAGCAAGAGGAAGAGGAGAAGGAGAAGGAGAAGGAGAAGGAGAAGGAGAAGCAGAATGGAAAACAAAAGTAGCCATCGAATGGAAAGAATGGCCAAGTTGTTGGTTGTTTCGCGTGAATTTGGCTATATGCAGGTATCGTAGAAGATAAAGAGACCGAAAAGGAGTAAAGCAGCGGCACGAAAGGAAAAGAGAGACGGAAGGAAAAAGAGAGGAAAAAGGGGAGAGAGCTCTTCGAGAGAACGGCGAGCCCAAAACGAGGACAAAGAGAAAATGACAAAGGCGAGAGGGGCGTTCGATTCGATTGGAAAGGCAGGCAGAGGGGCCTCTTTCCTTTTACCAGCGTTTTCTCCGTATTATGCTCCGTACTTTCCGTTGTTCCTATGCGCGCGCGTACAGCGGTGCACACAAACGCGTACGAATACGAGTATATGTTCGTCTGTACGTACATATACATGTATATACAGTATATTCTATCCGGAGGAACATACATTCACCTGAGTTCTCTTTTTTCCTGTTTCTTTGCATCCATCACCTTTCATTATTTCTGTCTCTATCTTTTATATCAACATATTACATCTATCTCTATGCCTGTGTTCTTAACACTTGTACAGAATTTTTTCCGTTCGTCTCTCTGCTTCCTCTCTCTCTTTCTCTTTTACTATCTCAATTATTATACGAGATTTCACGTTATGTGGCTCTATGCTTTTGCGGTGAGAGGGCAGCTTTATACTTTATACGTGGGTGAACGGGAAAATGTCTTTTGAAACCTTTCTAGGTCGCTCTCGATCGCCCCACTGTCAGTCATATACACGCGATTCCGCTTGGGGCTCTTGAGAAAATAGTTGATCTCATCGTAGTTTTCTTTTAGAGATAGTACGACTTGAAATTATAACTCTTGTACTTCCCTTTCCTCTTGATCTTTAGCCCTTTATCGAGAAACCTTACTGTCGCTGCAAGTATACACCGCATATTAAAAAACTAAATGACTCTTCGTGCGTATTTGCTGTTTGTTAAACGTAAGCTTGAATTTTACAAGTTTATAAATGCGCTTACTAACATTATCCCTTATAGTTATAGTCGCGTACGGCGTCTGAAACTCGAGTCTTGGATCGTTATAAGAAAAAATGGAGAAAGGGGGGGGGAGTAAGAGAGAGAGAGAGAGGGAGATTAGCAGGAGGATGGGAGAGATTGAAAGGCGACGAGAAGAAGAAATAGATGAGAAGAGAAGAGAAAATATACGCGGTTCTCCCGGTAGATACGAACGCGGCAAGGCCGAGAGAAGGAACAGTAAAATTGTGGAGAATGTGTACGCGCCATCAGGGTGGCCTAGATTCAGTCAAGACCTGCTTTCTAGGCAGCATTTCTCTTTATCATCGGTACCGCTGGTACAATGTATGGGTAAACCGTTGCTTGCCGCACGATCACGGAGAAAATCTCAGATGCATACAGTGCACCTTACTAATGATTATACATGCTTATTAACGATAATTCCAATTGTTTTATCAATGATTTATTAAATAATTTCTGCTCGTATAAATGCGTAAAGTTACGTTTCCTTTCACCCAGTACCTTTATCGTAGCCTATTTTCATCTATTGGAAACAGTCAACGAAAAACGTATCGTTGTTATAGAATACAATTATCGTAGAAATGTGACCATCGTTTCAAGCTCACAGTGCGGTATATTATGGATAATAAATACTGCTGTATATTCTTTACCCAAGAGTATCCTATCATAAAAAATATACGCCTAATATTTTCTGTAAGCGAAAAATAAAATTAATGAAAGATGAAAAATGAAACAGGAACAGAGGGAAATAGGGAAAGAAAGTTCGTGCGAAAGATTTGCGAAAAGTAATTATTGGTGCACGATTTACGTTTTACGAGTAATTTTGCACCAAGACATGATACTAGTTGTGTTTTCCTTCGTATATGGCTACAGAGTACGCGCAAACATTAAATAAGTGTTTCCTGCGCATACGTAATCGTTGATTATTGGACAGTTATCGTGCACGTGACCTACCGTAATCGGCGACAGCGATTCGAACGTGCACGCGGCAACTGTTCCAAATCCTCATGGAGAGAAGACACGAGGCGCGCGTGGAGGGACGTGTAATTCGTCTTTCCGAATGCGACAGGTCGTTAAACGTCGTGGATCATTGCCACGCACACCTATACAAGTACGCACACCGAATTGACCAGCTGTTCGGGACTATAGATGAAGCGGATGAAAGTCAAAACAATACGCGCGAGCCATATATCCGATATAAAATGTCGCTTGTGGAAGATCGACAGAATTTTCACACCCAATTCTCTATACAGCTATCGTTTACAGATTCTTATTCGCAGAGCCAATATATCTTTCAATACATTTCAGTAACGCATGTATACACGCGATATGTCGGAATAACAAGTAGCGACATGAAACTAGTAGAATTTTAATGTGTATATTTATGCGTTTGTTCTCGAACAAAAGGAATAATTAAGATGCGATCGTGAGATGTAATGAATAAGAGTGAACAGGCTAAAAAAGGTCGTAGTATAGAAATTTATAATTGCTCTTACCTTACCATGACCTGGCCCGCGAATAATATCACCACTGGAACTAAAGTTTGGCTGATGTTTGGCAACTCCGTGCCAAGGTTCGCAGAAGACACTCACTTTTGCTATAGTTATGACACTTGGTATAGAGAACTCCGCGCAGAAAGATGTCTTACGAAGAATTTTCAGAAAACGCGTGTTCACGCGATGACACACGGACTATTGTCAGTCGTCGCGTAAAGCACGTACTGCGCTGACGACTGCCAGTTGTCACTCTCCGTTTGCCCGTGAAAACGTCGCGACACGAAGTGGCGTAGCGAATCACGGAGAAAGATGGAAAAAGAGAAAGACATAAATGCACACTAGGGGGCACCGTGATGGCGGCGGACGACCCGTGTTCCGTTGCGGACGGTGGCGCAAAGCGATTAAGCGATTTTGTTGTGGACCCCGATTCTTCCCTTCGTCGGCTCACTCTTCCCGGCTTTCCACTTCTCCCGCGTCGCCTTTCGCCTCTCCCGCCGGCTGCGCTACGCCGCCGTAAACGCGCCCCTGAACGGAAATCTGCCTTTCTCCCCACTACCTTCGCGCAAACCCCTTCCACCACCACGAATTGCTATAATGTTCAACCGGCAAAAATCAGGATTGTATCAACTTTCTTCTTTACAACTTGTCAATTTCTTTATCCTAACTCTAATCATTATTTTTTGAAAATCGTTTATCTAATAGAAAATGATGATCACTGCGTCAAATCTCAACGCGTATCGTATATTGTAACGTTGCAAACAGTTGTTACTACAGGACTTCGCTGTTCCTATACGTTTATTATCATATCTATGGAAAATTTCGGCATAGAGCATGTATTTTCAAATTTATTCTTCTATAAAAAAAGAATCAACAATTATTTGATCGATAAGCTTTTTCGCTTATATTTATCAATCTTTTTTTGTATGAAAGTGATCACAAGGTTCTAAGAGTCTTTCGACGGTCCTGTGTTAACCGGCCGTTCTCTTTACCCCACTATTCGTAGCTTGATGCGCACAACACTGAGTTGAATTCTCTGCGCCGCGTCTCCCCATAAGAAGCACACTGTTTCCGAGCATCCCGGCTATCCCCTCGCAGAGCGGGTCGATCGTTACGCGTAGAAGTACGGCCATTGTGTAAAAAGAAGCCACGGCGCTCGGATAGTGTACGCTGAGGACAAGACGTGTAGTTTTTTTCCAAGTTTTCCTCTTGTGATATTTAGATTGTGCCAATATAGGTGAGTAATTTGTATACATATCCGTTGATTTATGTTTCAATTGTATATTCAATTTCGGGCAAGTTTATCGTCCTAAAAAGTTGATAAAAAATCAGGTCGCGCTGTTAAACCGATGGGCAGTACCTAAGTATCTTCGTTATACACGCGTGATCTTGGAAGAGTGTGTGTGTGGTGTTTGAAATATCATGATGGGAATATTTCGTTTGCGATTTATATGAACTATCTGCTAATTCGAATGCAATCGCTATCATTTTTCATGTATTTTTGTACGGTTTTCGCCATTTTGCCTCGGTCAAGTGTATAAAGTCGGCCATTACGTTACGCGTGCTAGGTTGTGGTCCAGGGCCGGATGACGTACATACAAAATACTTTATGATTTTTATCATTCATTCATGAATTTTAATTACGCGTCATTCCTATCGTTCTAATGATGAATAAATCATTATACTTGAATATATTAAGCAAATTTTCTAATTCAAACATCTCGTTCACATCTCGTTTTCTATCGATCAGTCATTCGCAACTGACATATATTTCTTTCTTGCTGCTTTATATCAAATGATATAACTACATAATGTCATACATAAATTATGCACTGCAGATTTAAACAATGTGTGTGATTTCCGTGATGTTTGTTTTAATATAAAACAATTTTGTTGTATTATTGTGTCAAACATTTTTCCATTGACCTTTCAAATAAAAAGGAACATGTCTGTCAGAACAGAATTGTAATCTGTGATATTTGTTCCTGGTAGCTTGAACACTATGTCAAACGTCTAATGTTTGTGTAAACTATTAAGTGAAAATAAAAAAAGTATTTTGTCGGTTAGCGTCCTCTGGCTGTAGTTTCCAATCACGGCAAAGATCGCGATAGGTTGTAAGAGTAGAGCGCATGCTCGTTAGTTTCGTTCGCGTTTTTTCTTCTCTTGTTCCCTCTTCCGGAGAAGCCTGCGCTCTCTGACGGCCGGCATAGAGGCAACCAAGTAGGCAGTCGGCTACGCCATTGTTGTAAAGGGCAGCGCTTGAGGCGCACGCCGAGTTCGGACGCTTACGCAGTTTATTTTCACTTATCACCCATCCCGTTGCTGTGATATTAGATTGTTTTATATTCCATATTAGGTGAGTGTTATAACAAGTAGTCAATTATTTATTTTCGATTTCGGTGAAAATCTTTAGAAAATTTCGGGAAATCTTCTTGTGGGGTGACATGGCGCGGGCGGATCCTCTCCGTACTTTTAAGAAAACATCGTTTTTGCTTAGTTACCGGTCAAAACAAATTTCCCAGTGGAGCAAGTGTTTGCGATTTTGATGTTTTCGTCCAGACGATGCTTTAACGGGAAATTCGAATAGCGGATATCGATCTGAAATCTTGTTTCTTCTTGTGAACTTTTCCTCTATCGCCATTTTGTCCGGGCGCGACCTCGCGGGCGGCCATATTGCGAACCACGTTTCCTCTCCTCTCCTCTTCTAGTTTCTGGTGGCGGTATGAGGAAAGTGTATGGTTCATTTTCGCCGGTTGGTAGTCGATTCGCGATTGAAAAATTATCTGTCGCCAATTTGTTTTTGTTTCGCACATGTTGCTCGACGTCATCTGACGTAACATTCAATACGAGATAACAATATAAATAGATTACGCAATCGGACGTAAGCCGTGGTGAATGCACTTCCCTTTATTTCGTATTAATCTTTACGCGCAAGTATCTGTATACTTATGTTATGCATTATGTTATCCCCTCCATTGAGAGATTTACGCGTTGCGCATGTGAAGAGAGCAATCGATTTTCCATTTTATTGCGCGTTAGTGATGTAAACCTCGGGGATGTATATAAATTGTGTTACCCTTTTTACCTGAGAGATAAACTTTATCGTGGTTCTTCAGTGGTCCTATCAAACTTTGTGTGCTTTACTGTTCCAAGTGATGTTTATATATTTATATGGTATGCAATTTTGATACGCTGTCGCATGACGAATAAAGATAGAAAAATTACAAACCAGCGCCGCTCGCAAAATATTTTGATACTAATACTAGGGCATTTATGTATTTATATTGGGGATAATATAGCCTTTTTTATTTTCCAAGTTTTATTCTAACAGTATCTTCTGATATACAGTTTGTTATGTCGATCATCGTATCATTAGTTATTTTCATTACAACTAGCTTAATGCGGAGTTTTTTCGAAATTTGATATTATCGTTAGGGTACTGAATATCCAGCAGACGTCCCTGAATTCCAGGGGCCTCGAACTAGTGCGCAAGTTAAATGCGCAGGTCGGGCGCAGCTGCGCATGCGTAGTGCTTGCGCGTCCTTCTGCATCATCCCCACCAAATCGTCCATTACCGTTATGAGAACACGCACAAAGGAAAAGGCCAGAAGACCAATTCGACCGACGCGCTTGCACCGTACGGCCATTTTGGAAGCTTTGCTGCTTCCTCGCGGAGCTTTTATCGTGATTACACATATCAACCGGAGTAATAGATATCATTGGTCTCGCCTTTTATTTCCAAATCATCGGCCTCGATGTTCGTGTTAATTCAACACAACATAATTAGATAGCATTAAGCACGGTCGATCATCTTGAACGGACAAACGGATTTATTTGGTTCATCATTATCCTGAATATTTCCTTCCTTGTTCAGTAACGAGGGAACGAAGCCAGAAAGAATGGAAGACGACCAGCAGTTCTGCCTTAGATGGAATAATCATCAGAGTACATTGATCCAGAACTTCGACACGCTTCTCGAAAGCGGGACGCTTGTCGACTGCACATTGGCAGCTGAGGGGAAATACCTGAAAGCCCATAAGGTAGTTCTGTCTGCGTGCAGTCCTTATTTTGAGGTGAGTGAATCTTGCGAATATTTTACTTTCAATATCGTTTTTATCTCATTATTATTACCATTACGCGATTAATTTTATTATTATTATTATTTAAATTATTATTGTTTGTATTTTGTCAATTACATTGTATTACATCCAATACTCGTACTTGGTTAATAGGCTTGATTGAATTGAAATTTAAGATTGTTTCATGGTCTTGAATTTTTTCTTGTTAAGAGATTGAACATCTTATGTATTGATTCTCATATACGAAGTATAACTGTTATTTAGTTTGCTGATAAATAGAAAAAAAATTCGATCGAGATCAGATCGAGAGTATCAAAGACATTGGTTATTTAAAATTTAGGCCTTTTTTTGGTATTGATATATCTTTTTCATTTATTCATCGTACTTCGAATTGTAAGAAATTTTGGAATTCAAGCTAAAAGGGGGGAACCTCAAATTGAAACAAGATGGCTGCTCTTGTTGAATGTGGCCTGGGCAGAAGCCAGAGAGGCAGGGAGACTGAAAGCCCAAACCCCCTCCTGGTTCCTCCTGGTAATCAATACAGAGAAAGCAAGATGGCTGATTTCCAGGGCACTTGCCCTGGGATTTTACCCTGATGTGGGAGGAGGGGTGTATAAAGGAGCAATACATCTTTGAATTAGGAAATTGAATTCTATTATTTAGTATTATTTGACTTTTCTACATTAATTTCGACTGTTAATTTGCTAATGTGACATCTACTTGTTTATTATTATTATCTATTAATATTTAAGTCAAAGTATTTGATAAAATTTGTGCAATTCAGAGGTTTAATGGAAATATTTCCGTTATAGGGGCTCCTCAGTGAACATTATGACAAGCATCCTGTCTTTATACTCAAAGATGTTAAGTTTAAAGAATTAAAAGCAATGATGGACTATATGTACAGGGGAGAAGTAAATATCTCCCAAGACCAATTGGCAGCACTCCTTAAAGCTGCCGAGTCTCTGCAAATTAAAGGTCTATCGGAAAGTAAAACAAGTGGTAGCAGTAAGACGGATTCTAGGCAACAAAAGGTCGTTCCGCAAACATCACAGCCCGACATTCCAATTTCGTCTTCCGGTCTTACGATAGAAAAGAACAAAGTTCCTAGGCAGGGTGTGTCGCAAGGTCCCCTGGGGGATTTACCTGAAGACTCTGCCAGTCCTCAAATACCGAAGGGTTTGTCCTCTAGGTAAGAACGTTGGAATTTTTCATTCGTCATTCGTTGAGAATATAAAATTATTATTCTCGTTATTTTTACAGGGAAGGTTCCCAAAGTCCCACATCAAGGAAAAGAAAAAGATTTAGACGAAAAAGTATAGGTGATGATAATTCAGTAGAAAATCACGAAGCTTCGAATTCAAGTGACATGCCTCAACAAATGGGCGTCCCTGCGCTTGGAATTGCACCCGTAGCAGATGAAAAATCACATGCAGACCCCACAGATTCCATTGGCAGGTCAGCCTTAATGACGCAGC